CAGCTCTCGAATCCCCGTGAGGCCCCTTCCGCTTCGTCGATCGAGGCGCGAGCTACTGCTCCTTACATTAATTAGCCGTTTCGACTCGATAACGACCGACGTTCACCTCGCGAATCCACGCCGAGTTTATGCATATGCAACGCGTCTTTATGAATTCTTTCGAGCTTCTTCTCGGCATACCCTTTCCATTTCTTCTGCCACCGCGTCTGCATCTTTTTCTCCGTTTAGCTTCGTTAAACCGGGATTAATTTGTTCGAGGGACGAGCGAGCAACTGCGATAGTCTCTTGTCACCGCTCATTCCCTCGTCGATCTGCGAGGAGCTCGTACGTTGCCAAAAAATTGCGTATTTATCCTGTAACCCTTTGACTGCCATGTCGAAATCACGTGTTTCCCTCAGGACGCCAATGGAATAATTTTTTCATCGATGTTCTAATCAAAATTTTTAATCGTTCAATGGGGCACTTTTTATTTCAAAGTGTCTGGTAATTAGCTGTTATATTCGAAATCCGCTAATTGTCAATTTTCGTTTAATTTTGTCAGTTGTAAGTAGTTGAAGCGCTCCGGTCACCAATGACCATCGTGGGGTATTCGATTTCGTAAATTCGTACAGCCCCGCGTTACTTTGTCATCCGATTCCGATATAATTAATGCCCGCGCGACTTGGCCAGCTTCTTCGGGGTTCGCGAGACGAGGAGACGAGAAATCGCGCGGTTTGTAGGTGTCGAGGATGACGGAGTTCATTGGCGCAGATTAATGGGCGTCGTTGTCGCGTTAGCTAATTTGCGGCTCGGTCTGAAGATGGCTTTTAATTAGATTGCCGCGTCGTGCCAGTAATTCGGACCCCCTTCTTTCTGCTTCCCCCGAATCGGGGATGGATTCTTTTGTTTTCGATACGTCGCGCGACGTAATTAGCAGATTACGACAACACGCGGATATTATTTTCTATCTTATCGAGAGTTAGGCTCGGATATATCGCATTGGAAGGTGCTCGGTATCTCGAGAGCAGGATAGGAGCCCAAGCCCAATTATTTCGAGCGGCGCGTCTAATTTTGAAGTCTCGCGATCCGTCTCGTTCTCTTTAATTCGGGCAAATTAGTTGGCATTGAGAGAGTACACTGGCCGCCAAAAGTTGCCGAACGCCGCGCAATTGCAACTCGCGCTATTTAGCACTCGCGGAACGCGTGCTCCCATCTTCCTCTCTGCGCCCCGAGTTAATCGGCATCGCGCGATAATCGGTTATCTGACATCGCAGATAATACTTTCCCCGAGCGAAGAATCGTGTTTTTCCACTCGTCGTTTCGAAATTCGGGAAAACCCAAACTCTCGACGCGTCCTCGAAATTCCTGCGAAAAAATCTCGCACCCGTTTTCCAGCGCGGGCTCGACTCTCGCCTGGACGTCCTCGTCGAAACTCGACCCTCGTCGCGCACCTTCTCGCGAGCGGGGCCCCGACTCTGTCCAGAGGCACGACGATGGACGAGGATGGATAAAAACCGTGGACATCATCGCGCATAAATCGCCAGGCTACGTTGCTCATTTACGCGCGTACGCGTACGCGCGAGCGTGCGTAATCTCAGGCATGCATCAAATACGCTGGCGTTACACGCGGGCCGGCGCGCGCGCGCGTCGAACGTGTTCGCGAAGCGGTCTGGAACGACGACGAGGATCGAGAGGCGGGTTCGTGCAGCCGCAGCTTACGTGGGGCGGGGGCCGCGTCGTCGGGCGTCGCTTCCGACCGCGTCGTCCCTGTCTGCTTATAAATAACACCATCTCCCCCGTTTCTTCGCGCGTTTCGCAGTTTTTCTCCCTTCCTCCTCCTCCTATCCTCCTCCAGGCCCTTCTCCATCCTTGCTGCAGCATGCTGCTGCTGCTGCTGCTGCTGCAAGGCTAATTAATATCACGTGATGAGCGATCGCGGCAAAACCTCGCGGCCGAGATCGCGAGGGAAGAAGAATGCGCGGAGGATGGAATAACGGGACGAGAGGGGAAGGAAGCGAAGAAAGCGAAGAAAGCGGTAGTATCGGGCGTATAGAGGATGGTATTGTGTACGTGGAAGTGGATCGGTCGGGGAATTCGCAGCGGCGCGAGATCTCTCGATGGCGGTTCGATCGCGCGAGGGAAACGCGCGCGAGAACGCGGAGCCGAGCGGAGGAGATAACGAAACGGGCGGCGTGGAACGAGAGGCTGCTCTCTCGCCTGGCCGAGGAGCAACAAAACCTCCGGTCGGATATAGAGGACACATTGTGCGCGCGCGGACAGAGAGCGGAGGAACGCGTCGTGGCGAATCGACTGCTCGCCTCGCACCATCTCGTCAACTCGAGCACTCGCAGCCCCTGCGAGTGTTGCGCGTCCGTTCGTTACCGCCGCGATACCATCTTCTCTTTTTCTCTCGGCGCGTTCTGCTCGCTGCGGCGTGCCTGCGCGCCTTTTTTCACCTCGCCTCCTCGCGACGCCCTTCGCTTCCTCTTCCACCACGGCGCGACCAGCAGCGTTCGCCGTTAGGCCTGGCGTTCGAGATTCGATGCTCGGGGCCTGTGCCCGTCGTTTTCTCTCGCTCTCTTCTCCCCTTTTTTCTACCTCTTCGTTCGTCCCCGCGCGGGAAAATCCGAACCCGAGATCGAAGCCGATCGGTGAACACTGTCACGCGCGTGTCTCCGACAGAATTATCGGGATAGGAATATGAATGAGTAATGTCAAATGTCAACTCGATTATTTCGATAGTAGCAACTCCGCGTTTACCGTAATTTATCGCGATTATCGATAATCGTTGAACGATCGAACGATGTCCGAGGGATACGCGTTAAGATTCTTTTTCTCTTTTCAAACTCCGCGAACAGATTCCGCGATGATCGTCGAACGTAATTTCAGTCGACGCGAATGAAACGCGCAAGAGCGATCGCGAAGGAGCCTGGTACCCCTGGTCGTTATCGGTACCCCGCTCTATACGCTCGCATTGCGATAAGCGAAAGCTTAGAGCGCGGCCAAGTCCAGTCCCGACGATATTCTAATAACGGTTTACTACTGCCGAACACGCATCGATTAACCCTTCATTTCCAATTACGTGGCTCGGTAATTGCGAGTAACGAGCTCCGCGACCGATCATCGCTTTTCCCTCGGCCCGTTTATCCCCCGCGGACGAACCGCGAGACAGCGGAACAAGACACTTAGATCACGCGTTTAATTACGCCGAACCGATCTATTCGCCCGTGATCCACGCTTTTACGCGCCATTTTACCGAACCGGGCCCCGATTTTATAACCCCAATGCGCCGGTTCGCTCTGATATTTACGCCACTCGTAACGCGGCCACTTTTCACGTCGTTATCCGGCTGCCGGCCTCCGATCGTTCTTTATTATTCAGCGAATCGGTGTTATCTCGTCGAGAGGCGTGTTCACGACGTCCCTTCGTTGTGTAGTCGTCCTTTATTATCCCGGCGAGAGGCCGCGATATTTACCCGGTTTTCGTCACGGAGATTAATAAACCGCGCTGCCCACGACGTTCCTCCGTACACGGCGCCGAATTTTCGCGCCACTTTCGCTCGAGAACTCTTCCCTGTCGCGAGCTTTCACCTCGCGAGATTTACACGCGTGCACCCGCGAGATAGCATCTCGCAGCGAAAATAATTTACGCGAAATTTCTGTTATATTATCCGGGACGTTGAATTCCCCGAGAGATTCGCGTGGAAAGTAGCAGGCATCGGGAGAATTTCTCTTGCAAGTAACACACCTATCGGATTTTTCGTATTTCCTCGACTGTTCGAGAGGAACGCGTGGTCTCCGCGACGACACCACTGTAGCAGATAGTCTTCGTCATCGAGGATCGCATCCAGAGTCGTAGGTATAGGTGCATAGGTCCGTTCCATTAGAGGCCGATCGCGGATGGTCGGTATCGCTCGAGTCTGGTATCCGGACGCACACGTGCGTCCAGCTGATCCCGGAGATCGGTGCGTGCGTAGCGTGTACCGAAAGGGTCGGTAGGAAGAAGGTGGAGGCGAGGAAGGTGCGTGGAGAAAGACTGGAGAAGGGGGTCGGCGGAGATGGCAGCGGGGCAGGCAGCCTTCGAGGCAGTCGCTATCTGAGGGAGCACTCATCGCGGTCGCTTCGTTATCGGCCGCGCGGAATCATAATGGACCATAATTGCATAAATATAATGTTAATTAACAATTAAGATTGCCGCTTTGCCTAATTGAATCGCCGCTGCTGCTCGCTGCGGCCGCGTGCAGAAGGGGGGCCCCGTTTCCACGCTGGATCGGTCGGCGAAGCTGCGGCGAGGAGAGGGCTTCGAGGTGGCTTTAAACGTAACGCCGTATCGGAAAATTATGCCGATGGCCGTGGCTCGAGTATGCGCTACGTTCGATACCCCGGCCGGAGAAACGTGACCGTGTGTCGCTTTAGAAAAACGCGTATTTATACGTACACGGCCGATGCCGATTCGGAGAAATAAAGAGGACGACGGTGAAAAGGGGAGGAGAAGAGGGATGGCGGAGAAGGCGAGGTTGCTCGCTGTGACCAGGGCCCGACACTCGGCTCTCGGGCCTGTGATAGTTATACGACGATTTTCTAGTGGTCTCTCTCTCCGCCATGCCTCTTCCTCGAGAGGTCTGCTGCTGCTACTCGTTACCCGATATCGACACACACGGTCGTTGAACCGGTACCATCTATGCCCGATGCGTATCGATCGCTCGATGGCACATGGAATTTCGGGGACGCAATTAGCGGCGTGCAGATGCAATAATAATTAATTCCCGTTAATCCTCGCGGAGTGAATCGACCGATAGTCCGCGGAGCTTTCCGTGTCCGGGGGAAATAAATGGAAGCGCGACAGATACGCGAGCCGGGATTCTTGGGAGCTGCGGGGGGCGGCGGGGGGCTTCGTGGGTTCGTCGTTCCGTCCAACCTACGTATTCCTCCTTCCCTTCGCCTGCTCCTTTGTGTCCATCCGGTGCGCACGGTCTCTGGCGAACGAATTTTATTCGGATCCTCTTATTTTTCTTGTTGCAGATGGTACAGGCGATCCAGGTCCTCCGGTTTCACCTCCTCGAGCTCGAAAAGGTGAGTACCTTTTGCGATTCCGCTTATTTTATTTCCCCTTTTTTACTTTCGTTGCTTCCAAGCTCTACCCGAGCTATCCAACGAGATCGGAGAAAAATCCGATAATCGATCTCGAATAACGGTGAGATCTTTCTTTCGTCGAAAGGTAATCGTCCGAGCGAAAATGATCGGGCGATATCGGCATAAGCCGATGGGCCCGGTATCCATTAATACACGGATAAATAGGTGAAATAGACGGGGAGAAATAGAGAGAGAGAGTCGGAGGAGAGGAGACGGAACGTCGGCGTGTTCTCGCGTCCGCTCCAATTGTCCAGGATTACCGGGTGTCGCGGCGGATAAGCCGTTCGTAACGCTTGAAAAACAACTGTTACGAGCCGGAGCGCAATTTTCCGTAATTGTAGCGAAAGCTCGGCACCACCCGTCGTCGGTCGTCGGTCGTCGTCGGCTATGGCGTATGCACCTTGGCGGTTTGCTCGGCTCGGGCCGGGTTCCAGGCGTAAGTGGCGTCATTTAGCTGTCCAATGGCCGCTAGACGTACGAACACGGTGCACGCTCCGAGTTGTTTGCATTGGAACGGCCATCTTTCTTCGCCGGGATCGCGGATTTTTTCCCCCCTGCCCCGACTCGTAAACCGGAAACCCGTAAATCGCTGTACACGTGTCGCGAATTAGATCGTCGGCGATCGGCGGGGGTACGAATGGCGGTACGCGAGTGGAGAGAGACGCTCGGTGGCTTCGTGTCCACGAATTCTCCGGTACCCGTGTTCGACGTCTGCGCTATAAATAGGAGGAAGGTTATTAATTGATGGCCTTGAGTGGTTCCCTTAATCGGAAATTTCCTTAGTCACGGGATGAAAAGTTAACGAAGGCGAGTCGATTTTAATTAGATCGGTTTCAGACCTCGCCGCCACGGTAAACATTGTACCGTGTATTTTTAATCCGATCGCGATGAGAAGCGAGAAGCATGGGCTCGCGAGATAAATAAATCGTTACGCCTAAGATATTGGCTATCCGTGACGAGTTAACCCGTCTTAACCAGTTAACGGGTTAATTGATCCCGAATAGATTACTCCGGTTCGTAAAGCCGCGTTAGGGGGGTGTAATAAAATTATTCCGCGGTGTAATCGCGCGCGGTCTTTACGAGGGGAAAGATCTTATCGGGAGAGCCACTTTCGATTTCCCGCGAATTGTAATTAAGACGGGACAGAGTGCATTCCGCGGCCACGATCGGTCCCCGTGGACGTCGAAAAAGTCGCAGGTTGGTCCCCGTGTCGCGGTTCGATCGACGACACGAGAGGTACAGCGGTCGGGATTAATTGAACCGGGCAGCCGGTTAATATTCCGCGCGCGTTCTCGCGTTGTTACTCCGGGGCCACGGTAAATAAATATTGCATTAGAAGGCCGGCGTGTTTCGGCTCGTTTTTCCCCCGCTAACGATTGATAACCGTTCGACCGGTAAAGCCGGTGCAAGAGAAGGACGAGAGGGAGAGAAAAAGCCGGGAGAGGGAGAGAGAGAGCCTGGAAGTTTTCAGGAGGAGCTGTTTGCGTGGCCGCAGAATACCGGGGCGGGCCCCGTTCGGCCCGGCTACGCCGTTTTTGCGGCGATATTTTATCATACGAAATAGCGGACATCCATCGCATTTCCATCGAAATGGCAGCTGACGTGGCGGCAGCCATTGGCCGGCCAAGGGAGACGCGGCCGTCGATGCGCCCCTCGTCGTCTCTGTTGCTCCCTCTCGACAGGCCCGCCTGGATCGACCGCTCGATCCTGCAATTTTATAGCAATTTTCCTCATTTGCCGCGATTACATTATTATAAAGGCCGGGGCTACCTACCGGCGAATCCACGACCGGCACACACGCGGGCCACAACCCTTTCTCTGTTGGCTCGGCCTCGTGCGCTTTTTCGTGCGCCAGTCGATTACTCGGCCGAGCAAACAGTCTCCGAGGATCGTGCTTGCTCGGTTACGTGCCAGACTCGTTTCGATCGGTAACCATCATTTCCCCTTTCTCTTCGTACGTCTTTGTCGCGAGAATGACACGTACCGCGAGCAGGAAAGATCGTCGCTTCGCCTCCCACGGAACGCGCGCATACGCACGCACACGCGCATACGCGGGGGTAATCGACGTGTACGTACGAGTCTTCTATGGAAGGGCTGGAAGGATAAGAAACCGTCTGAATGGGATCAAGACGCCAAACCGATATTCCTTCTCGATCGTAGCTTTTTCCTCCCACGAAACCGGGCTCCTACGATTCCAATACGCCAGCCGGTGGATTTATTTCAGCGAGATCGTCGCCGCGATATCGGGGCGGGTCTCGAAAAGCCGCGACAAAACCTGGCCGCAATTTGGCACGGTGTGCGCCGCACTGGCATCGACGGTAATGAAGATTGAAACGTTCTCGGTCCCCGGGGTCCTCGGGGACGAGCCGAGCCGGGACGACGAGGCACGGGACTCGAGCGAGCGGGCGAGCGAGCAAAGCGGAATGCAGCGAACGCGCGATCAAGAAGATTCCATAAATATCTGGGGCTCCGAGCAGCGAACGACTGACAGAGGACGACCGATAGACGAGGAGAGAGGGACGAGCGTGGACGAGGAGAGACTCGCGAGAGCAACAGAGACGGTTCTCTCCAA